CTCTCTCTCTCTCTCTCTCCGTGCCTCCCACCTCCTTACTCCCCCACCCTCCCCCTCTTCTTCATCCTCGTGCAGACGATGAGCCCGTTGATTGTGACTGCATGCAATGAGATGAATGTGCTTCCGCTGGGAGTCTAGAATTTGGTGAGAAGGCTTGTCTCAAGACAGACAGACTGGTTATAGTATCTTACACGAGTGTGACGAAACCAACATGCTGATCATTGGCTCTTCGCCTGTCATCTGCAAATTGCTCCCTCCCAGTCGACAGCACTTTCACAGAGAATTTCCTAGGATCTGTATGTTGTTCAACTGACGGCAACATATCAGACTGCTCTCTGCTCCCACGTTTGTCATTATCCTCAGGCTCATTTGTGTTTGGCGCAGCCGGCATGACGGCAGGTGTCGAGGACCGTGCCTTCTTGGTTGTCTCCTCACTGTTACCTGAGTCTACCGGCAATTGATGATCAGAGCTCGACCTGAAGCGTGAACTACTGGGCCCCGAAACAGTCCAGAAACCAACAGCATCGGTTGATCCCTCTCCATCAAGTGGCAATGGGTAGCTGTCCCACGACGGACTTTCAAAGAACTGTTTTAACTGTGGAAGAACAATAACAGTTGTTGCCTCAAGCCCAACATTTTCACAACACTCGACCAGTGCATGTGCTGCAAGCTGAAGGGTCCATGATGTCACACCAAACGTAACCACAGGTACACACATCAGATTCAGTATATTTCTTCTTGCAAATCAAAACTTGTGCCTGCAATGATAACAAAGATCATTAACAACAAAAAAGGAAAGAAGAAGAAGAAGAAGAAGAAGAAGAAGAAGAAGAAGAAGAAGAACATTGCAACAATAGCAAAGATCATGATAGCAACAATGATGATTATATATTATGATAATCAAAACAGCATCCCAGCGGATCATGCAGTTTCTCAGTCTGAGGGCTTACTTGCACGAGCACTATTTTAAACGTATCTGATCGCATTTAAGGCCAGACCTGGACATATCTGACCGCAATTATCGTCCAGAAGTAAAAAAGTTCTAGTGTGAGTATGCCCTGAGAATCTCCTGAGATTTGTCTGCGCTTGCTTTGTTTCCGAAGTTTAGTCTGTGAAACCTGTGTTGCCTGAAGTTTGCACGTGCTACTATGTTTGCATGCTCTCGCTTCTCTCATACATGTGTACTACCATCTTCGCCCAAATAGAACGCCCGGTCATTATAGCTGTATTTGGTGCAACTTTCAGTCCAGATACGGCAATAATTACCGGCCATTCTGTCCGGGTGAAGACCGTAGCCATGCATTGTATGTGCCCTGACCAGAGTCTTGAGAGACAAGTTACCTGCAAAAGTGGTACCTCTAGGGCTGAGGTCTGGCCCAGCATACGGAAAGGTAAGGTTTTTGGCGGACAGACTTGCAAATTGGACGGACCAGGGACAGAAAGGTTAGCCTTTTAGAGGCGGGAAGGACTGTCCAGCAACGCACCGTGATGTAACCACGCTGGTCGGCCTTAATGGACTTAGGAGGCCCGTTCCAGACTAATCGGGACAGGTGATGGTATCAGGACCAGATTGCAGACTGAGATAAGGAGTCGTCATTTGCCCGAGAGGAAGCTCCCAGAGGTTGTGTAGGAAGACCTAGACACTGGGTAGCTCAGGAAAGGTCCAATGGCATCAAGGGACAGGGCACACTGGAGCTATGTTCTTCCCCTATACTCCTAAAGAAAATAGCGGGTCACACCGCTGTTGGGAAAATTGGCATGGGCCCAATGCAGTGGTGATTTTATTATTATTATTATTATTATTATTATTATTATTTTGGGAAAAGGCAGGGAGGGTAATAAGAGTGTCCCTCCCTAGCAGCCCGGGTACCAGTTGCTCCAGTCCATTGGTGGGGAGCTTCAGCTTACGGAGACCGGGTCCAGGGTCCCAAACAAACATTTGTTACCGGGGCCGTTACCCGGCTCCGGCTTTGTCTCGTCCTCGAAAGGGCAAATATTCCCTACCCTCTCTACCCTACCGTCTCTGCCTCCAGCGGCGAGCCAGCCTTCTCTACCATCTCTACTTCCTGCGGCGACCAGCCTGCCCCAGCACAATGCCGAACCCCCTGAGATACCTCACGGGGGTCGCTGGCTAACCTACACAGGGTCTTGGGTCCGGCCACACAGCCCGTCACTGACTATCTGAATCGCAGTGACTAGGGTGCCCGGTGTTGTTGGTAGACCCTACGAAGTTGGTAAACCCTTACCAAGTAACTGAGCCCCAGACAGGGTCACACTCTTCTCTCGTCAAACCCTGCGCAGCTGGTAAATCCAACCAAGTATCCCACCCGTGGACGGATTTGGTGTCTACAAGCCCAGGGTTATGACTCGTGGTGTTGCAGGTTGTGCCTGACTGCGCTGGCTGCTGAGGTCGGAGGGCTCAATTGGGGCCTGCCAACCGAAGCACAGTTTTAGGCCCTCGACGGTGGCCACCCGTCCGTGACCTAGGACATTGCAAGGAAACTTTGTGACGATCTCCCATGCCACCTTGCAGTCCCGCTCCATCATTTGTCGAATCTTGGGCCAGTCTACCCAATACTCCGCTTCAAGGAGTTGGAGCAGTTTCGCCCATGCTTGCTGGGGTTGCTGTTGTTCCCTGTCTATCACCGCACCGCACCTTTTCTTCCAGATGACCGACAGCATGAGCGGACACAGTCTTCTGAAAAGGAGGTGATGATATGGTTCCAGTCAAAAGCACCGGACTCTGAGCCGGGAGAGGGAGGCCTGTGAGTGCAGTCCAAACGGTGCGAGCCAAGTCCCAAATCGCTGGTGTCTCCGGGCATGCCAGGAAACAGTGCGGGATGTCTTCGACTGGAGCTGAGGTGCACAGTGCACAGCCGTCGTCATTTGGCTGCACGTTCTGCGGGTTTTTGTGTCGAGCCAGTCACTGGTTCACTGGAAGTGCCTGGTGGATAAGTAAACATTGCATGCTTCGTACTTTGGGATTCCTTATCGGCAGCACTGTCTCCCATGGCAGGCAGGGTGTGCCCGACAGGTTCAGCCCTGTGCTCTGGGCCCAGTGCTGGGTGACCGTAGTTGAGATGTCCGCCTTTGGTTGGTGATGCCTGTAGACCACTCTGGTGGAGCACTGCAAGAGGTTGTGCTGGCGAGCCGCTGTGCCGGGGCTATTTCTTGCTGCCTTCCATGTCCATTCTGGTTCTTGGTCTTGGAGCTTCCAAGTAGGGGCGAAAAGGATTAGCTCATCTGTTTCAACAACCCACACCTTGCGCAATGCCTCCTGTGATTTTTCCCATTTGTTGGCCTTTTTTTCGCAGCGCTTTTGCAGTTCGTTCAGCGCAGTGCATGTCTGCTCTTTTGTTTTTCGGTCCCGCCTGTCCACATTTGTTGAGTAGAGGAGCGAGGCGTCTCGCATGTCATTCCACGGACCACTTTTCTATGGACCTCACCCAAATACTCGTGACATGCACAATGCCAAAATGGCTGTGTATCTTCCCATGTTCCAGTGGAAGATTCGTTCCCATTTGCACCTTCCATGAGAGGTGGAGCGCGGGCCCTCCTGGCGTTTGGTTCTATGGGCCTCGCTCCGCTCCTCACCAGATGTGCAAAATGGGAATGAATCTTACAGTGGAATGTGGAACGATTCATTCTCTATTTGCACATTCGGTGAGCACTGGACCAAGGGTCCTTGCGATTTTTCGTTCTATTGGCCTCGCTCCACTACTCACCAAATGTGCAAATCGAGAATGAACCTTTCCACTGGGAGTGAATGTTACACTTGACCGTGGAAAGATTCATTCTCAATTTGTTTTTTTCTTTTTTACAAAACCAACACACCATGCATTATAGCGTTGATGGGGCCGGCCACCCCACATAAACGCTGGTGCTGAGAGCTTTACACAGTTTCGCTTATGGAGAACCAAAGACCAAATCAGCAGAGGCAATATCAACAACATAGGAAGAAGACACAGAGAGAGAGTGAGTGAGGTGAACGGAAGAATGAGGCGAGAGAGGGAGGTACGAGTTTGAGAAGAGGGAAGAAATGAGAAAGAAAAAAGGAGGGGGGGGGGGAGAGGGGAAGGGAGAGGCAGGGATGCGGGAACACTATCTGGAAACTACCTAATGGTCTCCTCTGTGTATGCGGCGGGCATCTGCTTGTGCTAAGAAAGCATCGAGCTATGCTCCCTTTGGAGCTACCTTACAGATGCCTGAACTAGAAGGATAGCATATGTTTGGATAAAAGATAGTACATGAATGCTCTGGATGAGCCTAGTTTTCGACAGCTAAGCGAGCTGAGAGAGTCCATCCACAATAGTTGTCAGGAGAAAGTGGCGTTTGATGAAAATATAGATGAGATGACACAGGGCTCGCGTCCCAGTGGGAGATCGGCAGGGAATGATAAGGAAACAGGGGCTGAGAGGTGGTACATCCTTCGTGAAATAAAGTAATCAATGCTGCTGTCTTGGGGTCCCTTGGCCATAACAAAGGGAAAAGCATTGTGTGTAAGGGATTTGGACCTGGTCTCTCGCCATCTTATTAAAAACTTATAAAAAGTGCTGTTTTATGTCTTTTTTTTTTTTTTCCCGCCGGCCCTTTCGATCTTCCTCTAATCTTAATTCAATTAACCGAATAATATTGTGATGCTGACCGTTTCAAATTCGAGTTGTCTTCTTCGACTGTCCAGGTGAGACCAATATAATAGTTCGTGAGGATGTGATAATGACTACAATAATGACACGATGACCCCTTTGGAAAAAGAAAAAGGAAAAGAAAATCGAAGTTTACTATACGTGCTGAAAACCGGGTCCAGCATCGCTTGTTGATTCACACAATGCTGCCTTCCATTATGGTTGAAGGACCCTAAGACAGCGGCATTGATCACTGCCAAAGGAGGATTTACCCCTGCTCCACCCCTGCCAAAATCTTAAACCATCAGTACACAGCCGCGCAGCCTTGCTGAAAAGGAATCTCGTCGCCTACGGAAAATTCGGAGGCTCTGGGGAGGGCGGGTAGTTCGATGGGGGAAGAAGGCGGTGGGCCCAAGGAAAAGGGGCAAACAAACTGCACAGAGTCCTTGTGGTTTGTGTTGTGCACGTCTTCACAAACGTGCACGAGGGCAGACATTGATCAAGCCCTTGTTTTCTTTTTTTTTGGCAGTTATTAATGTGACTCCCCGTGAGAGGCGGGAAGCAATAGAGTTGCTGTCAGGCCTTTCTCGTGCTACAACTTTTCAGATTGTATATGACCGCAGTTCTGGCCAGGTGTGGGTGAATCTGTGAGGCAATCACATTCGGGGATTGTTTTTTTTTGTTTGTTTGTTTGCCTCTTGCATGTGGAGAGTAGTGAGGCGTTGCCCAAATCCCTCGCCCATTGCACTCGTTTCCTTGTGCTTCGAGAAAACAGCGTGATTCGCTGTGATTCGAATCACCGTGTCGAATCACGAGGAGAGAGGAAAAATAAAAAAGAAACAACCAAAAAAACTTACCAAAAACAGTATTCTAGCTGTCCGTGAAAACGGGCGCCTACTGCTGCTTCTGGGAGCTACAGGCTGCAGACTTTCCCAAAACGCGCCATATGGCGCTTTGCTTTTTAGTGTGCCCGTGGTTTGTCTTTTTTCCTAGGGAGATATCCCGGGCGTCCGGGTCCCGATGTCACGCCCAGATTGGTGACCGG